TAACGCGTTCAAAGGAAGAGAAGAAAAGTAAAGGAATTGCCTGGAAGACCTGGAGTAAAGTCCGCAGCTGACATGAGGAGATAAGCGTTGGCGAGATTTCCGCAGCGAATCAAAAACGGCAGGCCTAGTGAAAAAGTTTTCTTGTGAAAATGAGTTTTGTTTACATGAGAAATAAAAATCATTTCAATATCAGTGCAGTGCTTTGAAACAGAGGCTTCACACAACCCGGAAATGTGACTGGCTGGGATCTTTATTGAAAACTGGATTGACAGCCGTTTGTTTTGATGAGTTTTATTGATCAACCGCCGGCTATTGACTGATGATTCCTTGACTTCGTGGTGAAAACGTTAGAAATTATAAAAGCGTGCCAACATGAACTAACCATAACCAGTCTCTTCGTCGAACTAATTGCTTAGCCGAAAAAAACTTAAGCTTAGTTTTAAGCATATGGGTGTGAATGAAAAACAATAACCTGTCTTTGTGATGAAAGACACTGACACATGGACTTTTCAGAGAAACACAATTGTTCTAATTCAAGGAGTGTTCAGATAGCCTTTTCAGCCGTCATTTTAGTGTTGTGTGGCACAAAAGCCGGCTTTAACATTCAAAAGTGCTCTATTTAGAAAACAAACCATTAAAAAGATAAGTTTTTCTTACAGTGAAACTTAAGACTATTCTGACACTAGCTTTCCGTACCAACACGAAAGGGTACCTATCCGATATATATGTAACTCTCCACTTTGCAGATCGGCGCGGCTCAGCTTCGCCCCGCGACAGAAATCGCGCCGAAATCACCGTCCTTGTGTGTGAATAGAAGCCCTATTCTGTATCGTTTCAGCTGTGGTTTACGCACCGGCGCAAAAGCTATGCGGTATAGTATGAACAGTTTACAATTTTGATTGCGTAACATGTATGCAAACCAAAAGAATCCAATTCATAATATGGGAGTAGCATCAAAAAGATTAAATTGAATTTCATTAAGATTATATCATTCAGTACTATCAGATCTAATAAAATCTATACAAGAATTTTGCTAACAAGCATCCAGTCTTCAAAAGTATGTAAATTTTTAAAAAAATCGGATTTAACGTACAGTATTTGTGGCAAAAATCAGTTATTATAGGAAATTCGTCCAAAGACCTAATATAATTTTGTTTTCCTACAAAAGTCATCCCAAACAGGAGCAAAAACAATGTCAAAATGATGACTCTGAACACTAACAATTAATTACCAAAACTTCATACCACGTAAAAATAAGTACTACGTTGCTCAGAAACTATTCGGTTCAAAAAAGAACGCGGTTTTGGCAGAAATGAATTATTTTGGAACTTTCAACTAACCACTTCCCTCATTTTTGCTATGGGTAAGAGATGATTTTGAATTTAAATTTCAGTGACACCTCGCTGATGTAACGAAGGGCCAAGGGACTGGCAAAATATGTTCGTTATAACGAGGTTTCGTTATATCGAGGTTATTTTCCGTATATTTTACTATTACTGGGGTAGGGAAAATCGTTCGTTATACCGAGGACTTCGTTATGTAGTGGTTCGTTATATCGAGTTTCCACTTTAGTTAAAGTGAGCCGTCCGGCACTCTGATCGTTCCGTGGCGGCCCACTGTGAACAAGGTATACAGTGTATATGTTTGGTGAAAGAATCCGCTCTCTCATTTCAAAGGGAAGAGCCCTAGGGATTAGGTTGCATATATTCCTTATATGGACTGTCATGTTCACATTGTTTAAATGGTCACGAGACAATAAGGACCTCTCTTTTACCGAAATGGCGAACATATTGGAAAAGGAGAAGTCCTAATGGGACGAGGACGAAAACGTGTGTACAGCCTCCTTACTACATAATCAGTAAAGATGTAATTTATAGATTAGGCAAGTCTAAAAGCCTCATTGGTGTATTCACTTTAATCAGGAGCCGATTTCCCAGCCACCCCCACCCCCCTCCCCCTGCCATTATGCCGACTGTTTTTAATGTTTCTTTGAAAGTTGCAGTCTGGCAAAACTTACGAAATAAACGAGCCGTGTAATACTAGCAAATCCTGTCAGCTTATTTTTGTTGGGCAAGGCGAGAATGAAGCAAAGCTGACTTCAACAGTCTCTACCAGAGTCGCCAAGAGAGATGGCCTAACTTGGTCTTCAGTCTTTTATATGCTATCTCATTTGGGGTCTAGACTTTCAGTCGTTCAGGTCCTATATATGCTTGCCTTATATACTGAGTGCATGGCCAAGGCGGGAGAAATTAACACTGGCAGAGTGACATAATTGCAAACTTTATTCCATCAACAATACAAACTGGGGTGATATACATAAAAAGCATGAGTTTAGACAATTCAGCCGTGGTTTATTAAGTATACTGTGACTGAACACACCTTGGTGAATGGTTACGAAATCTGTGTTAGCGGTGAACTAAACTTTATGCAGTTTGGAACATTAAAGGATTGGTTAACAGCCGAATAACGGACAAGAGGTAAAAATATTGATTGAAGTACAGGAGGCTGTGAATAATCCTATGAAAATCTAAGAAAAAGAAGTAAAAACCCTCCTTTTTTGTTTTGTTTATTTATTATTATTATTTTTTATGTCCTCGACCTGACGGTTCTTCTTTTCTCCCTCTTTGTTGATGCTACATCAATCGGAAATAGCCACAGTTATCTGAGCTGTGTGATGTCAAATAGGATTTAGTGCTGTGTTACAAAATACTTGTTGCACTTGACTGCGTCTTTACTAAAAAGGCGACGGCAAAACCTGTAAAGAGAGGTACAACACGGTAAGCAAAGCCAAAATCTCTAAGTCAAAATAAACTTCCCGCAGGTATCACTATTTAAGGGATTTCAAATGAATTTCTTTGCAAATTTCCTTCGAAAAGGGAAAAGTAAAGAGGTGCCCAAAAGCTTCTGCTCCACAGCACTTTCTTGGGACACCCTTTGAAAAGTGAATGAAAATAGCGGATTACTCTTATACTGGATCAAACAAGCCTAACTAATCTGTCAGAGACCAACCTCTCAATCGTCCAAACCGTCGCTACGCATAATGTCATCTAAAAGAATCTCGGGATTTGTGAAATCATTGATTTCATTTGTGAAATCATTGACTTCATTGACCTGCAAGTCAAAAGCAAATTCACGTTAAGTTTCCCACTGATAGGATTTTTCTCAATGGCCTCATTTTACCACTACTACCATAATCCTTCAGTGTATCGCTTTCTAGTGCAAATTAAAGCTTTTGTTATCTTAACCTCACTGAGATAACCAAATTTAAACATGAAAGAAAAAACGAAATGAATTCTGGTCCTAGTAGTAAAAAGGCGACATCGTGCAAATGACCAATTGGTCGCAAAAATCCAGCTAACGCTTATTTTCCTTAGTTCTTTTAAATAACGAATATTTGATATTCAGCAGTTCACTTACGAAGGAGTTTAAAGGAGTTGTGTCAAGAAATTTACCAACTTTCATGAAACTGAGGATGAGCCATTACATGTAAGGACTGCGAACCGGTGTAGTTGCTGCTACTTTACAATCCACAACTTTTACCATTATTGTACGTCGGTAACTAGAAATATACGATCATTTAGCCCCTCTGCCCCCCCCCCCCCCCCCCCCCCCCCCCCCCTTTTTCTAGGTTCCTTTTTTTGAGTTAAAAAAAAGGCATAAAAAAATTAAACGCGGGGGGAAAAAAGACAAAAAAAAAATTTGAGCCCAAATGGGTGTGGGGGGAAGTTTGTGGGGCGAACACAGAAAAAAAACCCAAAAAGGCGCGGGGCCAACAAGGCATCACCTCTTTCTTTCTTCTGT